AAAATGCATTGAAGCTGCACTAATTTCTGTCAGTAACACTATAAAGCAAAAATCCGGTAGTTACAGTATTTCAAAATTACTAAGCAAGAGGATATTACCCATCCTGGGAACTGGTGTTACTTGATGCCAGCAGGTCCCTCTCTAGCCTCACCTCCTTAGTTCCATTACTACTACTACTACTATTACCACCTCTACCCACGCTTCACCTCACCTGACTCCCACCACTATATATATGTGTGTTTTCTTAGTTTTCTCTGTATTAGGACTGAAGAAGCCACTCGTGGCGAAACGTTTCCTTTAATAAATGTCCTGAACTGTACATAAGTGTCTTTTTCCACATCTTGTCGGTATCACCATACCATTTCCTTATCTTCTGCTTCTATCAACTTTTCTGTACTCGACTGAAGAAGCCTACTGTGTAGGCGAAACGTTTCAAAATAAAGATACCTAACTGTTGCATATGTATCTTACCTAACAATCTGTCGGTATTTTATACCATTTTAATGTTGAATAAGTGTCTCAGTTCTAAGACTTACGTGTTATAAAATACTGATAAGCACAGAGAAAGCCACTATTAGGCCTAAGCATTTGGTAAAACACACGTGCAACAGCTGGGTATCTTTATCGGCGGAACGTTTCACCTACGCAGTACACCTCTTCAGTCGAATACAGAGATAGCAGAAGCAACGAAGTAAAGATAATGTAGTTAGTCCCTCACTCTGGAGAAGAGTTCAGCTCCATAGTCCGAAACACAATGTTCCAGACTATGGAACGCTCTTCTCTAGACTGAGGGACTGACCACCTCACCCTCGTGGGCGAAGGATCGATTACATTATCCTTACATCTCTTCTTCTTCTGCTGCCTCTGCATTCGACAGAAAAAGCCTACTGTTTAGGTGAAACATTTCGGAATAAAGTTGCCTAATTGTTGCACATATCTTACTCATCAACTTGTCGGTATTAACTAAGTAAGTTTATTCAGGTAGAGGTACACATAAATACCAGTGAATACCATTATCATTGTGGAAAATACTGTATACATTTTCCGGAAATACGGTAATTTATAGGTAAATAGATGCCCTATATTGTATTTTTAAAAGAAATATGTTATCGAAAATGGGAAACCTGCGGCTGGGGGGTAAGTAAGTAAGTAAGTAAGTAAATTTATTCAGGTATACACAAATACAGTTACATAGAATTATCATACATAGCAGCATATGTGTAGAGAACCTGGGATAACACAAAAAAGTCAGACAGAGTGACTTACTTCCATTGGGGTCCTTTTACCTTATTTTATACTATAAAGGTTATAATATTTTCTTATTATTCTACAATGAAGATAACATCTTATTATCATACTAAAAAGACTATCTACTACACGAGGGTCATTAAGACTATCTACAATACGAGGGTCATTACTAGGGATAAGGTAAAATTTACACGTATTTTAGCTAAAAAAATAGAAAATCATTCCCCTCCCTTTCTGTAGCTACATTCATCAGACACTTTTTGGCAGTCTTCTTGAACTGGTTCATGCTATCACTGGCTTTGGCATGTGCGGGTAGTCTGTTCCATTCCTTTATTGCTGTACAATAAAAGGTGTTTGAAGCCTGGTCACTGACTGTGGGTACTACAAAGTTGTGCTCTCTCCCCCTAGTACTATGATTGCTTTGGTTCCCAACCTTGACAAAATTGACAGCAAGATATTCTGGACACTGTTCGTGAGCAATTTTATAAACATGATTTAGCTTCAGTTGTTTTACTCTGTCTTCAACATTCAGCATATCCATCTGCTGTAATTCATCCTGGCCTACATGTTCTCTTGGTCCCAGCCCCAGGATGAATCTTACGATTTTGTTCTGGGTGATTTGCAGTCTATCTTTCAGTTTTTTTGTCAAGGCAGAGTACCATGAAGAGCAAGCATAATTCATATGGCATTGTATAAGGGCTAGACATAGGGTCCTGCGAGCCTCAGTAGGTAGACACTGTGCTTGTCTATACAGGAACTCAGGGGCTCAGTCGCCATTTTGGTTTGAATGAGCCAAGTAAACGTTAGTGTAATGGGAAGAATTTTTCGTGCTCTAGAGGTTAAAATTGGGTTGACACCTCTCAAATAGGAGGCGAAATTGTTGGATGTGCATTCCTGCATAACTTGAGATATCAGGCGACTGAACAAGACAGCTCCAGGAACCTCAGATAAGTCTGTTATGTTATAACTCTGGCCAGTTATTTTCATGTATAGACAGTGAGGTTTTCTGAGTATGATACACATTAATCTCCAGTCAAATTGGTGAGTGTTATGATTAAGATACATTCTCCTTCTGTTATATAAATGTGTGTATATACTATAATCCTTTTTTAATTTTAATATACAGTCCACAAATTTATATATTTACCAGCATTCCTGGTGATGTATATTTCATTTAATTAATAGGTCCAGAGCAACTTGTGGATATGACAGTGGTAGGTATCGAAGGGGAACATTTTTTGCGACCTAGGTGTCCCAAATTCCTACTTGTCTAACTGATAAATAATAATTATCTATGTTCATTTACTGTTATGTATATAATGTGTGGAAAATACTGTATATATTTTCAGAAAATACGGTAATTTATAGGTAAATAGATGGCCTATACTATTATTTTTTTTATTTATTATCACACTGGCCGATTCCCACCAAGGCAGGGTGGCCCGAAAAAGAAAAACTTTCACCATCATTCACTCCATCACTGTCTTGCCAGAAGGGTGCTTTACACTACAGTTTTTAAACTGCAACATTAACACCCCTCCTTCAGAGTGCAGGCACTGTACTTCCCATCTCCAGGACTCAAGTCCGGCCTGCCGGTTTCCCTGAACCCCTTCATAAATGTTACTTTGCTCACACTCCAACAGCACGTCAAGTATTAAAAACCATTTGTCTCCATTCACTCCTATCAAACACGCTCACGCATGCCTGCTGGAAGTCCAAGCCCCTCGCACACAAAACCTCCTTTACCCCCTCCCTCCAACCTTTCCTAGGCCGACCCCTACCCCGCCTTCCTTCCACTACAGACTGATACACTCTTGAAGTTATTCTGTTTCGCTCCATTCTCTCCACATGTCCGAACCACCTCAACAACCCTTCCTCAGCCCTCTGGACAACAGTTTTGGTAATCCCGCACCTCCTCCTAACTTCCAAACTACGAATTCTCTGCATTATATTCACACCACACATTGCTCTCAGACATGACATCTCCACTGCCTCCAGCCTTCTCCTCGCTGCAACATTCATCACCAATGCTTCACACCCATATAAGAGCGTTGGTAAAACTATACTCTCATACATTCCCCTCTTTGCCTCCAAGGACAAAGTTCTGTCTCCAGAGACTCCTAACTGCACCACTCACCCTTTTCCCCTCATCAATTCTATGATTCACCTCATCTTTCATAGACCCATCCGCTGACACGTCCACTCCCAAATATCTGAATATATTCACCTCCTCCATACTCTCTCCCTCCAATCTGATATCCAATCTTTCATCACCTAATCTTTTTGTTATCCTCATAACCTTACTCTTTCCTGTATTCACTTTCAATTTTCTTCTTTTGCACACCCTACCAAATTCATCCACCAATCTCTGCAACTTCTCTTCAGAATCTCCCAAGAGCACAGTGTCATCAGCAAAGAGCAACTGTGACAACTCCCACTTTATGTGTGATTCTTTATCTTTTAACTCCACGCCTCTTGCCAAGACCCTCGCATTTACTTCTCTTACAACCCCATCTATAAATATATTAAACAACCACGGTGACATCACACATCCTTGTCTAAGGCCTACTTTTACTGGGAAAAAATTTCCCTCTTTCCTACATACTCTAACTTGAGCCTCACTATCCTCGTAAAAACTCTTCACTGCTTTCAGTAACCTACCTCCTACACCATACACCTGCAACATCTGCCACATTGCCCCCCTATCCACCCTGTCATACGCCTTTACTATATTTACTATATTTAATAATATACTATATTTAATAATATTTGTAATAGAAAACGGAAAGCCTGCGTCTGGGCAGGAGACTCGCCATCTTGGTTTTGAATTTTGTACAAACGTTGGTGAATGGGGAAGAATTTTTCGTGCTCTAGAGGTTAAAATTGTGCTGACACCTCTCAAATAGGAGGCGAAATTGATGGATATGCATTCCTGCATAACTTGAGATATCAGGCGACTGGACAAGACAGCTCCAGGAACCTCAGATAAGCTCTCTAGATTTGTGTGTAATTCTGGCCAGCATTATTTTAATAGATTTAGTTAGAGTGAGGTTTTCTGAGTATGATACACATTAATTTCCAGTCAAATTGGTGAGTGATAATAAGATATATTTTCCTTCTGTTATGTAATTGTGTATATATATAACCATTTATTATTTTTAATATACAGTCCACAAATTTATATATTTACCAGTATTCCTGGTGTATATTTCATTTAATTAATAGGTCCAGAGCAACTTGTGGATATGACAGTGGTAGGTATCGAAGGGGGGACATTTTTTGCTACCTAAGTGTTCCAAATTCCTACTTGTCTAACTGATAAATAATAGTTATCATTGTTCATTTACTGTTATGTAAATAATTATACATTCAGCTAAATGTAATTTTCCACATAATGATACATTCAGATAAATGCAATTTTCCACAATCATATTCGACTGAAGAAACCTATTATATAGGGGAAACGTTTCGACAGTAAAGTTACCCAACTGTTGCATATGTGTCTTTCTCATCTACATGTCGGCATTAAATACCATTGACGTAATTATTTAAGCTAGTGGTATGGTGGTCTTTAAGAGCCGAGTGGAAAAAGACACTTATGTGCACTTCAGGACATTTATTAAAGGAAACGTTTCGCTACGTGTGGCTTCTTCAGTCTGAAGAAGCCACTCGTGGCGGAATGTTTCCTTTCTGAAGTGTACAGAAGTGTCTTCTTTCACACCTTGTCGGTATCACCATACCATGTCTCGGTTCTTAAGAGCCGTAGTTGCACCGTATCCAGCCCTATGTTTTCCTCAGAGAGGAATAAACAGGGCTGGATACGGCGTTAGTTTTCAGTGGCCCTGTAAACCACCAACAACAAGAAGTCCAAGTCAAAGTTCGCATTAATGGGTGTGTTTTTTATATTACATATATAGTAAAATTAAAATATTATTGGGAGAAAATCCTTCAAGGGGATGCCTTGTTCCTGGTGAAGAGCTCCTGATCTGAGGAATTAGAACTGTCTTGCTCTCGGTGAAGAGCTCTTTACTGAGGAATTAGAAATCTTTGCCTATGGATCAAACAATTGCCTCCCATTGCCCAGATGTATAACCCTTAAGGGTTTAACGCTTCCCCATGATTATGATAATACTCAAGAAGAGTAACAGTTCAGAAATCCATAGGTGTCACGTGATTCAGTTGATAGGACAGGTACCTACTTCATATTAATAATTAGCTTTATTCGAATTGAAATTTGCGATTATAGATTTCATTTTTTTTTTTTTTTTTTTTTTTTTGTATTTTTGTGAAATAAAGTTTGATTTTGAGCTATGATTCAGCAATGGAAATAAGTCTCATTACTTTATCCTTGAGTGTTCCTAGGTACCATTCTACACAGTTTCCAATAAAAAAAATTGTCTAAAGGGAAGGGAGTGGGTTTATATAGGGGCTCTTGATCCAAGGAATTGGACTCATTCTACCCTTCATTCGATAGAACTTGAATGTCTTCCATTCTTCAGGCACTTTATGATCCCGATGGGATTAGCACATCCCCAGTAATTAAAACAAAACAAAAAAATAAACAAAATCATTGTCAAAGTTTAACATTATGTATGAAGCTTAAATAAGAATTCTCCGACTAACTCTCATTAATGTAGCTCAAGTACAGTGGCTCATGACTTAATATCTTTAAGCATGAATCTAAAGAATATTGGTTCAAATCCGTTGCGAGCGGGAAGTTTGAGAATGTTTCATTATACATTACCTCTTCTCACTTATCCCCCTCAAGGAAGGTTACTTGATGTTGGTGAGGGGCTCTTGATCTAGGGAATTGGAGCTGTGCTCCAGTTCCCTGAATTAAGCCTGAATACCTTCCCCATTCCCCCCACAGGTGCTGCATAATCCTATGGGTTTAGCGCTCCCCCTTGATTATAATAATAATAATGCTCACTTAGCAGTAAATAAGCACCTCGGTGTTAGCCAACTGCTATGGGTCGCATCCTGGAAATCAGGATAAAATGACCCGAAGGAAATAAGCCAGACATAGTGACTTTATTAGGGTTGTGTTTCTAACTCTCTGAGTTAATGTGTATAAAATCTACTCTTTTATTGTATACTGTATGTTTAAAAGTTTTATTTTGTTTCCAGGATGTCTTCAGAGGCAGATGTTCCATTTACAAAGCAGATGCGTAATGCCACCCGGGAAATCCACAGTGTCAGTGATGCCTTAATAAATGCAAAACTTGGTATAGGTATGAATATTGATTAATTACACTAGTACTAGAGCATGCATAGTTCCTTTGTATAAAGGCAAAGGGGACAAAAGAGAGTGCAAAAATTATAGGGGGATAAGTCTGTTGAGTATACCTGGTAAAGTGTATGGTAGAGTTATTATTGAAAGAATCAAGAGTAAGACGGAGAATAGGATAGCAGATGAACAAGGAGGCTTTAGGAAAGGTAGGGGGTGTGTGGACCAGGTGTTTACAGTGAAACATATAAGTGAACAGTATTTAGATAAGGCTAAAGAGGTCTTTGTGGCATTTGTGGATTTGGAAAAGGCGTATGACAGGGTGAAGCATGGGTGATGAATGTTGCAGCGAGGAGAAGGCTGGAGGCAGTGGAGATGTCATGTCTGAGGGCAATGTGTGGTGTGAATATAATGCAGAGAATTCGTAGTTTGGAAGTTAGGAGGAGGTGCGGGATTACCAAAACTGTTGTCCAGAGGGCTGAGGAAGGGTTGTTGAGGTGGTTCGGACATGTAGAGAGAATGGAGCGAAACAGAGTGACTTCAAGAGTGTATCAGTCTGTAGTGGAAGGAAGGCGGGGTAGGGGTCGGCCTAGGAAAGGTTGGAGGGAGGGGGTAAAGGAGGTTTTGTGTGCGAGGGGCTTGGACTTCCAGCAGGCATGCGTGAGCGTGTTTGATAGGAGTGAATGGAGACAAATGGTTTTTAATACTTGACATGCTGTTGGAGTGTGAGCAAAGTAACATTTATGAAGGGGTTCAGGGAAACCGGCAGGCCGGACTTGAGTCCTGGAGATGGGAAGTACAGTGCCTGCACTCTGAAGGAGGGGTGTTAATGTTGCAGTTTAAAAACTGTAGTGTAAAGCACCCTTCTGGCAAGACAGTGATGGAGTGAATGATGGTGAAAGTTTTTCTTTTTCGGGCCACCCTGCCTTGGTGGGAATCGGCCAGTGTGATAATAAAATAAATAACATAATTTGCACCCATAGAAAGGTTTCATCACAAATGTTTCACTATTATATTTGTCCTAGAATGACATTAAATTTAATAAACATTTTCTTCTCTCTTTTCCTTAGCGATGTCAGAGGACCGTGTGTGGGCTGAGGGCCTGTTAATATTTTATGAGGTTTTTAAATATCTTGAGGGGGCACTAGACCGTCATTCACACAGTCTGATTGGAGAGTTGGATATTCCTGGTATAAGGCGCACAGAAGCATTTGAGAAGGTTGGTTATGTTTATTTTTTTAGGTATTAAAATTAGTCAATGATTTCTGCAGTTCAGTTAAGGAGATATTTTGTATCTTAGATCTTTCCTTTCTTTCTCGTATATGTTTCTCCATCGTGATCACGGGAGTTTTTCTTGTGCCTAGAAATGCATTTCAATCTCACACTACTGTTATGTATTGTATTAACACAGGTTAGTTATTAACAGATGCTTCACACTGATTATATTTCACATCTGACTCACATTTAACTATTATTCTTAGAAGTGCTGAAGTAATATATATAAAAGAAACATGTTTTCCTCCATAGATAAAATGAAACAAGCCATATTTGTGTACATGCGTACAAAAGTAAAATATGGTGTGTGACAGTTTTGTGGTGTTTTATATCTTTTCTAATGATAAAAACAACTTTTTTCCAGGATTTAGCATATTATATTGGTGCTGACTGGAAGAAAGATTACACTCCACGAGAGTGCGTTTGTCAGTATCTGAAACATTTGAAGAAGTTAGAAAATGAGAATCCTTATCTGTTGATGGCTTACATTTATCATTTGTACATGGGTCTCCTCTCAGGTGGACAGATATTACGTCGGAAGAAAGTTCTTCTTCAGAAACTGAGGTTCTTTCGCAAGGTACAACACAGTTTTTTTATAAAGAATTTATTTTGAGGGGACATTTATCTCTACATTGATTTTAAATGTCCATCTTATTAAGTTTACCTTTCATTATACATTACTAGGCAAATGAGCTAAATATTAAAAGTGATGTGGTAATGTGATGTTAAAATGCAATTACAAATACGTATTAATGTTTTAGAGGGATTCCTACTACACAAGTGTCATCAGTAACTTTATCCTATCTGATATTAGTCTTAAGTCATGAATTCTTCTTAGAAAAAGAAAATTCAGGTAAAGATGTGTTAGAATTATTGTACTCGTAGCTAGTCCAGAGAACTTGGTCTTAGTGAGAGGTTATTTTTGTTAAATATTATTGCTTTATTGTGTCCATTTCTACATCTCTTCATGTCAGTAACCTCACCTCAGTCACATTTGAATTGTCTGGCCCACTCCTGTTGGTGATTTAACTGTTATAATTTTCTTTTTTAATGAAAGGTAGGAGATATTATATTAGGAAGCGAAGATATTGGAAAGATGGAGGGAGTATTTTGAGGAATTGTAAAATGTCAAAAATGAAATGGAGGCAGCAAAATCCTGTGTTGGGCAGGGATGAATGAAATATTGCCGATAAAGAGCCAAAGGTGAGTGAGAGGGAAAGTGCATAATGCAGTATATAGAATAAAAGGGGGTAAAGCAGCTGCTTCAGGCAGGTTTAAGAGAGGTGCTAAAGTAAGTTTTAGAATCGTTAGTGTGTTTGTTCAGTATTTGCATGCAAGAAGGAAAGGTATCTAAGGATTAGCAGGAAGCATGCAGAGTTCCGTTGTATAAGGGAAAAGGGGACAATAAAGGATAAGAATCCAAGGAGAATAAGCCTGTTGAGTATATGTACTAGGTAAAGTGTATGGTAGAATCATTACTGAAAGAGATAGGGGTAGTACACAAAGTAGGCTTGTAGAGCAACAAGGAGGGTTAAGGAAGGATAAGGGATGTGTAGACCAAGTGTTAACATTGAAGCATGTAAGTGAACGGTACTTAGATAGCAAACTCTTTGTTTCATTTATGAATTTAGATAAGGCTTATGATAGGATGGATAGCGGAGTAATGCTGCAGATGTTGAGAACTTATGTAATATGTATTAGGGTTCCATAAGCAGTAGTGCTTTTATGAATGATGGTGAATGTTTCATTTTTAAAGTCACCTTACCTTGGTGGGAGATGACTAATATGGTTAAAAAAAATATCTTTCAGGTAATTTTTTGTTATGAATCCTCCATTGATCTACTGAGTCATTTTTCTCACCCATTTACCACTTCTTCCAAAATTCCAATATTGTGATTAGTGTTCACCTGCTGACTAATATGCCCTGTCAAAGACTTAAAACATATATACATACTTGACATCTTAACTTACCATGATATTACTTAAAATTTGCAGGATACAGTGGAGGGCATGGCTGTAACAGAAATCGCTGATGGATCTGTGTTCAAGATTAAACGACAAATGACAGAAGCCATGAACCACATTGCAGGAGAGATGGATGAAGATACACGACAGAAACTTTTAGAAGAGAGCAAGATGGTGTTTATTCTCAATAATAAAATTGTTCATTCAATAGAGGGAGCTGGAGCTATCGTTACTGTTAAACTTATCAAATTAGGAATCTTTGGAGTCTTGGCTGCATTACTTTTCACCTATCTCAAAAAACTGTTGAAAGGGTAGAGGTCAACTAACAATTTAACTCCAAAAACATGTTATAATGCATAGCCCCATAATTATATTCCAACAATATTGCTGAATGTAATTATCATAGAACTTGTATATATTCCCAGTGGTTTTGGATGTATTGCCTAGTCTAGGTGTAAATTTTATACACTACAGCAAAAACTGAGCTTTATAAAAATATATATATATAGAATAGAATTTTAAATTTTTTTTGATAAACTTTGTTTTTTATAAAGGGAACTTCTTAAAATGAGTCATATTTTCTGAATAAACATATTACAGCCTCTCCTCACTTAACGACAGGGTTCCGTTCCTAAGACCACGTTGGTAAACGAATTTGCCACTAAGTATGGAGCATCCTATAATGGTAGTGGGTTTATGTCAACCATCTTTGATACTGTTTTAATGTCACCTATGCACCATTTATAACATTTTTAATATACATATTTTTAAATGTTTATACAGTAGTGTACTGTATATTGTAATAAACAGAATAGAGCAAATCAGCTCTAATATACATTATTTAGGTATTCATACTGGTCAGAGAGCCTGTCGTAAGTCTGAGTCATTGGTAAATGAATATGTTGCTAAGTGAGGAGAGGCTATTGTTTGGTGAGTCAGAGCAAGTGAGCCAAAGTCAGTTTTTGTTTGCCTTATACTTGAAACAATAAAAAAAACTTGTTTCCTCAAAATGCTGTATTATTTGATAATATTCTCTGTTCAAAATATTCGTAAGGTGAATCAAAATCAAACCTGATTGCCTCCAATTCGTCCAGGCACTGTTTGAGCCCTATGGGCTTAGTGTAACCCCCCCCCCCCATAAATATAATAATGGTGATTATATATTAAGAACTGACTGATGAGGAGTTATTTATCTAACCTAGAACCTTCAAGAGTGAGACTGCTGAAAGGTTCATGATTTAGGGTATAGGAGATACCCTTCCATTCCTTAGATGAAGCCTGATAACCTCCCAGTCCTTAGGCACTGTATAACTCTTATGGGTTGAGTACTTCCCAATGTATGTATATGATTATGTATCTCTACCCCAGTATTTCTTGCTATGATCCCATTAAAGGGAGCCTTGATGTTGGTAAAGACCTTCTTCTGGGTCTTTGGAAAACCTGTTGTTGATTCAGGTGAGGGAAGCAGGGTGTGTTTACTCATATATTGTTGTAGAGATTGAATTCAAACGCCTGATGCCGCCTCTTAAATTGCCATTTATCAGATTCACTCCTAGCCTCATGGGCCCCATCTTATTGGCTTTTAAAACTGGAGCCTGCCTTTCCCATGGCATATCTGTGTCTTTATCTTCCACCTGTGTCTCCAGTATTTTGTATGTTATCATGTCTTTCCCTGATTCTTATGCTCTCCACTTCCATTAGATTCAATTCCATTAGCCTCTCCCCATGGGTCATGCACCTCAATTCCATGCTGGTGCTTTGTAGTCAACAATGGGCCTCACATAATATGTGTGTGTCTGTGTATGTGTCTTTGTTTGTGGAAATGGAGTCTGGGTTTAGGTAAGGTGGGGTTCCTCCTGACCATAATCAGAACGTTTTATACCCTTCTCTCTTTCCGGAGGAAACTTTGTTTCCTATCTAATTCCCACCAGGTGTCCCATAGCTCAACTGCTAGTGTACTCGGCTCATACATTGAGGTCCATGGTTTGATCCCTGGTGTGGGTGGAAACATTAGGACGTGTTTCCTTAAGGTACCTACTGTCTATGTTCACCGATCAGTAAAACAGGTGCCTGGGTGTTAGTCGACTGGTGTGAGTTGCATCCTGGGGACAAAAATTACCTAATTTAACAGCGCCGTATGACCCTAGTGGTTTAGCAAGGGACTAGTAACCCCTTCTCCCGTATAAATTACTAAATTTAAAAAAGAGAAACTTTCGTTTTTCTTTTTGGGCCACCCTGCCTTGGTGGGATACGGCCGGTTTGTTGAAATATTTATATATATATATACATATATATATATATATATATATATATATATATATATATATATATATATATATATATTTTTTTTTTCAACTAGTCAGCCATCTCCCACCGAGGCAGGGTGACCCAAAAAAGAAAGAAAATCCCCCAAAAGAAAATACTTTCATCATCATTCAACACTTTCACCACACTCGCACATTATCACTGTTTTTGCAGAGGTGCTTAGAATACAACAGTTTAGAAGCATACACATATAAAGATACACAACATATCCCTCCAAATTGCCAATATCCCAAACTCCTCCTTTAAAGTGCAGGCATTGTACTTCCCATTTCCAGGACTCAAGTCCGACTATATGAAAATAACTGGTTTCCCTGAATCCCTTCACTAAATATTACCCTGCTCACACTCCAACAGATCGTCAGGTCCCAAGTACCATTCGTCTCCATTCACTCCTATCTAACACACTCACGCACGCTTGCTGGAAGTCCAAGCCCCTTGCCCACAAAACCTCCTTTACCCCCTCTCTCCAACCCTTTCGAGGACGACTCCTACCTCGCCTTCCTTCCCCTATAGATTTATATGCTTTCCATGTCATTCTACTTTGATCCATTCTCTCTAAATGACCAAACCACCTCAACAACCCCTCTTCTGCCCTCTGACTAATACTTTTATTAACTCCACACCTTTTCCTAATTTCCACACTCCGAATTTTCTGCATAATATTTACACCACACATTGCCCTTAGACAGGACATCTCCACTGCCTCCAACCGTCTCCTCGCTGCTGCATTTACCACCCAAGCTTCACACCCATATAAGAGTGTTGGTACTACTATACTTTCATACATTCCCTTCTTTGCCTCCATAGATAACGTTTTTTGACTCCACATATACTTCAATGCACCACTCACCTTTTTTCCCTCATCAATTCTATGATTAACCTCATCCTTCATAAATCCATCTGCCGACACATCAACTCCCAAGTATCTGAAAACATTCACTTCTTCCATACTCCTCCTCCCCAATTTGATATCCAATTTTTCTTTATCTAAATCATTTGATACCCTCATCACCTTATTAAATAACAAAAAGGCACAATACCGTGACTGGAACGATACACAAATAACCCGCACATAAAAGACAGAAGCTTACGACGACGTTTCGGTCCGACTTGGACCATTGTCTTTTATGTGCGGGTTATTTGTGCATCACCTTATTCTTTTCTATGTTCACTTTCAACTTTCTACCTTTACACACATTCCCAAACTCATCCACTAACCTTTGCAATTTTTCTTTAGAATCTCCCATAAGCACAGTATCATCAGCAAAAAGTAACTGTGTTAATTCCCATTTTGAATTTGATTCCCCATAATTTAATCCCACCCCTCTCCCAAACACCCTAGCATTTACTTCTTTTACAACCCCATCTATAAATATATTAAACAACCATGGTGACATTACACATCCCTGTCTAAGACCTACTTTTACGGGGAAGTAGTCTCCCTCTCTTCTACACACCCTAACCTGAGCCTCACTATCCTCATAAAAACTCTTTACAGCATTTAGTAACTTACCACCTATTCCATATACTTGCAACATCTGCCACATTGCTCCCCTATCCACTCTATCATATGCCTTTTCTAAATCCATAAATGCAATAAAAACTTCCCTACCTTTATCTAAATACTGTTCACATATATGCTTCAATGTAAACACTTGATCTACACATCCCCTACCCACTCTGAAACCTCCTTGCTCATCCACAATCCTACATTCTGTCTTACCTCTAATTCTTTCAATTATAACCCTACTGTACACTTTTCCTGGTATACTCAGTAAACTTATTCCTCTATAATTTTTACAATCTCTTTTGTCCCCTTTCCCTTTATATAAAGGGACTATACATGCTCTCTGCCAATCCCTAGGTACAGTCCCCTCTTTCATACATTTATTAAACAAAAGTACCAACCACTCCAACACTATATCCCCCCCTGCTTTTAACATTTCTGTCATGATCCCATCAGTTCCAGCTGCTTTACCCCCTTTCATTCTACGTAATGCCTCGCGTACCTCCCCCACACTTACATTCTGCTCTTCTTCACTCCTAAAAGATGGTATACCTCCCTGACCAGTGCATGAAATTACCGCCTCCCTTTCTTCCTCAACATTTAAAAGTTCCTCAAAATATTCTCGCCATCTACCTAATACCTCCCTCTCCCCATTTGCTAACTCCCCTACTCTGTTTTTAACTGACAAATCCATACTTTCCCTAGGCTTTCTTAACTTGTTTAACTCACTCCAAAATTTTTTCTTATTTTCATTAAAATTTCTTGACAGTACCTCTCCCACTCTATCATCTGCTCTCCTTTTGCACTCTGTCACCACTCTCTTCACCTTTCTTTTACTCTCCATATACTCTGCTTTTCTTATAACACTTCTGCTTTGTAAAAACCTCTCATAAGCTAATTTTTTCTCTTTTATCACACCCTTTACTTCATCATTCCACCAATCACTCCTCTTTCCACCTGCCCCCACCCTCCTATAACCAAAAGCTTCTGCCCCACATTCTAATACTGCATTTTTAAAACTATTCCAACTCTCTTCAACCCCCCCACTACTCATCTTTGCACTAGCCCACCTTTCTGCCAACAGTCGCTTATATCTCCCCCGCACTTCCTCCTCCTTTAGTTTATACACTTTCACCTCCTCTTATATTTTTTTTTTTTTGTCAACAAGTCGGCCATCTCCCACTGAGGCAGGGTGACCCAAAAAAGAAAGAAAATCCCCAAAAAGAAAATACTTTCATCATCATTCAACACTTTCACCACACTCACATATTATCACTGTTTTTGCAGAGGTGCTCAGAATACAACAGTATAGAAGCATACACATATAAAGATACACAACATATCCCTCCAAACTGCCAATATCCCAAACCCCTCCTTTAAAGTGCAGGCATTGTACTTCCCATTTCCAGGACTCAAGTCCGACTATATGAAAATAACCGGTTTCCCTGAATCCCTTCACTAAATATTACCCTGCTCACACTCCAACAGATCGTCAGGTCCCAAGTACCATTCGTCTCCATTCACTCCTATCTAACACGCTCACGCACGCTTACCTGGAGTTTACCTGGAGAGTGTTCCGGGGGTCAACGCCCCCGCGGCCCGGTCTGTGACCAGGCCTCCTGGTGGATCAGAGCCTGATCAACCAGGCTGTTACTGCTGGCTGCACGCCATCTACCTAATACCTCCCTCTCCCCATCTACTAATTCCCCTACTCTGTTTTTAACTGACAAATCCATATTTTCCCTAGGCTTTCTTAACTTGTTTAACTCACTCCAAAATTTTTTCTTACTTTCATTAAAATTTCTTGACAGTGCCTCTCCCACTCTATCATCTGCTCTCCTTTTGCACTCTGTCACCACTCTCTTCACCTTTCTTTTACTCTCCATATACTCTACTTTTCTTATAACATTTCTGCTTTATAAAAACCTCTCATAAGCTAATTTTTTCTCTTTTATCACACCCTTTACTTCATCATTCCACCAATCACTCCTCTTTCCACCTGCCCCCACCCTCCTATAACCACAAACTTCTGCCCCACATTCTAATACTGCATTTTTTAAAACTATTCCAACCCTCTTCAAACCCCCCCCCCACTACTCATCTTTGCATTAGCCCACCTTTCTGCCAACAGTCGCTTATATCTCCCCCGAACTTCCTCCTTCCTTAGTTTATACAATTTCACCTCCCTCTTACTTGTTGTTGCCACCTTCCTCTTTTCCCATCTACCT